GGTGGGACTGTGTTTTCAGAAGTGATTAGAAATCATCCTCAGTTATAGTGATGGTTTAAGATGACGCTGGTTGTGATAATTCTCCCAGCTAAAACTTGGTAAATAGTTATCTTTGTTCATTGTAGAGAGTTTGCCTTGAAGACATAAAGATCTAGGTTCAAGTCCTACCTACCACACATATTAGTTGTGTGACATTGGGTAAGTTATTTCTCAGTGATGTCAAACTCAAATAGAATAGGGGGCCACTAAACCATATATAACAATCTCTGCAGGCCACATATTGATTTCAAAAACCACATTTTAACACTATGTTCTATTGCATTTGTATTTATTTTGTTCAATATCTCCCAATTATATTTTAATCTGGTTCCTGCCACAGTTGGGGAGCATTATGGGGCTTTAGGGCATATGTTTGACATCTCTGACCTAGAAAACTTTCCAAGACTATGAGTTGCAGAGAAGGTGCTGACTTGAAGTTTTCTTATCCAGAAGATTCTTATATTAATGAAATCTCAGGTTTATTCTCTATTCCAGTCTTAGTGTTATTATTAGTTACACTGTTAATAAATTATATGGCCAGAAATTTTCATATTTATTTAGGGATAAAAGATTAAGGTTTTGATATATAAAAAGAGAAGAGTAGCTGCTCATAGGAAAAGAGCTTTATTTAGTTTTTAAAATAAGCATTTTTTAAAAACTGCAGTAGAGCAGAGAACTTATGGATAAATTAATGAGAGCGATGTCAAAATTTTAGTAATTAACAAGGAACTAACCAATCATGATCCTGGGTTAGCCTAGAGTTTGGAATGAATATGGTAATGAATCAAGTAAGCCAGATGAGAGATCACCACTCCAGGTATGCTAACTGTGACAATGGTCGACTCTCATACCCTGCCACATAGACAATGGATAAGCTATGATTGGTGAGTCAAAAGCTCTTCAATGAACAAAGTGTAGAAATGAATCATTCATATGTGATAGCCAGTGATTTTCTAATAATAAGAGATATGGGCAGTAAGGATAGGCAGAGATAGCTGAAAGAATGTCTGATGGACTATGATTGGGAATTTTAATTTAAGTAATTTATGGCTGCTGAGAAAGGGAATTGAATAATAAGAACACTTTCAAGGAGGATGATCTTTGTATATGCCTGAATGTGTGTATGTATTGGAGAGGCTGGACTGAGTAAAGTTCCCAATTTGTGGTACACATACCTCCAGGGACTGTAGGAAGCTTGTCAAGGAGGTACAGTGAATATTTGGTTTAACTATTAAATCCCACTAATATTAATCTCTACATTTCATTTATTACATGCATGTGTATGGAACATTCTAGAATTCATTTCATATTGAACAGTGGGCATGAGAAGGTTGCCTGATCACCATGGGGTTTGAGAATCATCTATATCTATATCTATATCTACATCTATATCCAACTGCTATCTGGCCTCTGAGCTACTCTGGCTGACCCAGAGAACTTTTGGAAGTCTCCTATCTATAGAAGGATGCATCCTAATCATGATCCCTGATCTGAGGATACTTTGATGAGAAAAAATAGAGTAAAGAGAAGATTCCTCCTACTACACTGTAAGTTCCATTAGGTTCAGGACCATCGTACATCTAAACTTTGTTTTCCTTAGAGCCTAGAAGAGTGTAATAGGTTCATAATAAATGTTTGTCAGATGAATGGATACTATTTTATAGAATAGTTTTTTGAACTGGGTTCTAAAAATTATTTTTGATGTTTAAATATACCTCTTATATGGTGTAATATGGTCAGTTGACATATTTACCAATCTTGAATTGATGACGAATTGTCCAGTTGCATTTTGCTTTTGAGATAAATGAGTAGAGAGCTCTAATTTTAAATTGCTCCTGGATCCTTCAAATAGGAATTAATGGCACAGGCAAAAAAAAAAATTACAGTGGCTTATCTCTTTCCCCCTCTTTCTTACTACTATTCTATGACAAATCAGAGTCATTTAATACAACTTATTGTGTTCCTTAAACAAAGTGAAGACTCCTAATTCTTCCATGTAAATTCTACTAAAGGCACCTGTTCAAGCTTTAGAAACATTTATTTTATTAAAAACAACAATGCCAACAGCCTTAAAAATACTAATAAGGAAGTCCAGGAACCCTCAGGTCAGCACACAGTAATAAAATGAATGACAGGATAGAGCTGAAATGGGACCCGCTGTGACATAGCTGTCTATGAAGAATCTGTCACTCAAACCAAACAAGCTAGGGCACTTTAGTCCTGAACTTGGAGTGCCGTTGCCATAGTTTCTACACAAAGATGACAAGGCTGCATTCCAATTATATCTTTCAGGATGACAGATAACAGGAAAATGGGAAATGGGGTAATAAAATCTGTGGTCACCTGGCAGGGATGTGACAGATAGAAGTGACAGAGATGTGAGAGATGCCCACTTATTTTGCCAAAGAAACACCCTATTTGGAATGTAAATGTATTTGCTTCAGCCTTTCCTTACTTTTCACCACCAAATTTCTGCATTTCTTGTTTTACCCTTTCCAACTTACCCCCTTCGTATGAAGTGTTGTTCAAAACATGGTTACCCCTCACTAAACGGAAATTTAATTACCAGAATTCTAAATACTAGATTCTACCAGAACCAGAGTTCTAAGGAAATCAGCCCTTGAACTTTCAGAAATTAGGGGTGGAAGAGTGCCATTTTGATTCTGCCATTATGCTCCAGATATTCTTGCTCTATTTGGCCCCACAGGGTTGAATCAGAAGCAATGAGTTCAAGTTGCAAAGAGGCCTACTTTGGGTTTGATATCAGGAAACACCTTCTAACAATTAGAGCTGTCCAACAGTTGAATTTCTTGCCTCAAGAGGTAGTGGGTTCTCCTTCCTTCAAGGTCTTCAGTCAGAATCTGGACAATCTGGACAGAATCTGTCAGGTATTACTGTGGTGGGAATTCCTTTGGGTGTGGTTTAGATTAGATGGGTAATGAAGTCCATTCCACTTCTCAATGATTCTATGATTTGGTACACTGGGTAGGTTGTGACCCCATACAGGATCATGACCCACAGTTTAAGAAGCATTGAAAGGGCTGCAAGTGGGAAAAGTTTAAGAAGCTCTGAACTAGAGGACTTCACTCACCCCAATGATGTGGCAAACTCTAATAACCAGCTAATGTCTAATAATGAATAATAGCACCCTGTAGGTTCGATGAATTCTATTAGGATGGTTTCACAGACCAGTCATTGGTTAACCCAACAGAGCAGAGGAACCAACATTATACTACCTGAGGTTTACCAGATACTTCCATATCCTAGCAGACTCTATGAAGGAAGGACTGAGTCTGATTTCTGGCTTTGTCTGTTATCTTCAATCACCTAACCTACCTTACAAACTATAGAGGTATCTAGAAAGGTACTACTAAATCTGAGTGATGGAAAAAGCAAAAAAAAAAAAAAAAAAAAGAGCGGCTATTGGTAAAGAATGTACTCTGATACAATTAGAAGTGTTAAATAATGGTAAGCAGGCAAGACCTGCTAAGGAGTCAGCAGGGACAAGAAATGAGTTAGGTTTGAAGTAGGCAATCATGAATTGCTAGGCTATACTTTCATTTTGATTACGTGACATTGAGTACAACATACTTTTTTTATTAACATTTTAACTATTGTTATAGAATTTTAATACAATCATACTGGCATGGTGAGTAGGAATCTGGATTTTGGGTCAGAGGACATGGGCTCAATTCCCATGCTCTGCCACTTTACTTACGACCTGTGTGACCATGGGCAAGTAATTTTTACCTCTCTGGGCTTAATTTTCCTTGTCTATGAAATGAATGAGTTGGATAATTCAGGACTTCTTGACCCACAGTTTAAGAAGCACTGAAGGGGTTGCAAGTGGAAAAAGTTTAAGAAGCACTGGGGTAAACAACCTCCAATGTTCTACCCAGCTCTAATTCTGTGATCTTATGTTTCTGATCTGTTTTGGTGGAGAGAGTTTGCAAGGTGGGATTTCCCTACTCTGACAAAGATCACAAATATTAAAAGGCTTCATCTATATTTAAGTATGATCTTAATTACATTCAGGAGCTCCACTTTTTTTTCCCCCTGACAAAACACAGCTCTCTGATTTCATAATGGAAGTCACTGAGAAAATACAACTCTACAGGTATTTGCTATATTATACATTTTGCTGGAATTTGTCTATCTTGCTAAATGCCTGTAACTTATGAAGGAATCTCTGGCTGGAAGGAAGTGTTTTGTTTCTACTGACACCATCTTTAATGCCTCCCCAGCTATTTAGGTACAACTTTTGGCAGTGTTCATTTTGCTTTGGTGGTTTGTTTTTGGTAGGAAAAACATTTCTTTTCAAATCAGAAACATGCTATTTGAAATCTCTTCTAGGAAAGATAAATGCTAATCAATAAAATACATGGAATATGAAAAAGTACAGTGTTCTGTTATGTGTATGTAATGCAGTGGAGAATTGAAGCAACAGGGAAAATTTAAAAATTTCAAACTGTCCTCTAAAATATCCGGATATTCAAGCCATAAATAAAGCTTGCTGGAATTCTTCATTTACCTTTCCAATCTCACCCTAGAGCCACTGAAATTTTGGGTGAAAATTGGGAAGATCAAAATGGGAATTCTTGATTCTGATCAGTCATAAAATCAAACTTAAATATTCTATTTTTCTCAGAGAGTTGGATTCCCTTAGCTATATATTGAACACTATTAATCATCATGGTTAATATCTCTTCAGGTCAGTAGAATGAAAAGTTACCTATCCTTTAGTATATAGGCTTTGCCACCTACAAATGGGATCTTGAAGAGCTGATTTGAAATGTGGGTGTTGCTTACTGAAATATATAGTGGTCTCTTCCAAAGGCTACCAAGGAAAATATCATAAAATCAGCCTTACAGAACGTTCACAAAGCAGATTGAAGATGATAAACCAAATTGCACTATTCCATCTGACAGCAAATATAGGGGAAAGCATCTGGGTGGCTTACCTTGAAAGATATTTCATACTGTTCTCCTCCCCAGATTTCTAAGCCTGGATCATAGCCACCCAATTCCCAAAACCACTTTCGGTCAACAGCAAAGAGCCCTCCAGCCATAACAGGAGACCTGTGGAATAATTAAAATAAGCTATAAAAGATGGTGAACATTAGGCCCCCTGATCATATGCTTGAAAGGCCCAAGAAGTGTTTCAGTAGTCAAATTGTAATGAGGCTTTAAGCAATAGTTGTTTATTGGTGAGTCTAGAGCTCCCATTTGGTCAATAACTGAAGTGGAAGTAGGAGCAGGGGGAAGATTCATTCTATGCTTTAAAATTTGCTGTTAAGTTTCTAGTGTTACAAATGCCCAGCAGAGCCCCATTTATTTCATCTGCATATCATGGGAGAGAAAGAAGTGAGTCTTAGTGACTCATCCTTTTGAAAATACCCATCTGGTTTTACAGAACTTGGTCAAAGTGAAGATGCATTTTCCCCTACTATAAAGGTAGTTTTTGAAAACACTGAGAATAATGCTGCAGATATTGCCTCTCAGAGAAGTATCTCTTTCTTTTATGATTGCCTCAGTTATTAATTTATCCTCACTTTTTCTGGAAGGGAATCCAGTCAATGGCCAGGAAAAACAAACAAACAAACAAACTCTAATTGAGTGTTTATTATGGCAGAACACAGGTACTAGGTGCTGCGTATAGGTCTGGTAATAGAATTTCTGAATCAAAGGATAGGAATTGCTTAGTCACTTTTCTTGCATGAAATGCACTCTCAAAATAAACAGAAGATACAGGCCCCTAGGAGGGTAGAGAGGGAACAATGTGACTGACCTGTACATGCTATGTTTTGTATATATGTGTGCACACACACATACACTCACATAAAGTAGTACTAAGTGAAGGATACATTTATACAGCAATGTATCATTAAATGAAATTTAATATATGGTAAAATAATAGCTAATTCCCAAGATGTATGTAGTGTTATAAGGTTTGCAAAACACTTTATAGTTGTTATCTTTGATTCTCACAACAACCTTGTGATATAGGTGCTATTATTACCCCCATTTTACAGATAAAGAAACTGAGGTTGCAGCGACTTTCCCAGGGTCACAAAGCTAAACAAATGTTGGAGGCAAGATTCTTTTCCAGTTCCTTTTCCAGTATTCTACTGATTGTGCCATAGAATTATGGAGAGGTAGCTTTGGCATAATGGATAAATAACTGACCTTGTCATTAGGGAGACTTTCAAATCTCGCTCTGACAAATACTTGCTGTTGTAAATATGATCAAGTCACTTAATATCCCAGGGCCTCAGGCAACTCATTAGGACAATGTGGAGTTGCTGATCTACACTGGTAGAATGTATTCACCAAGGATTTATATCAGGGATGGGGAACCTGCGGCCTCGAAGATGTATGTGGCCCTCTAGGTCCTCAAGTGCGGCCCTTTGAATCCAAACTTCACAGAATCTGTTCCCCAGCCCTGATATACAATAGGACTTTGCCACAAGGATAAAGCATCAGGTCTGAATCCAGCCTCTCACTTGCCACTCTGCCTTCCCACCTCCAAATAACATAAATTTGTAATTTGCTAATTTTAAAATTACTTTTATTGCATTTGTTTAATTTGAAACATTTCCAAATGGATAGTAAGCAAAATGGAGAAGTTTCAAATACTTGACAAAATGTTCACAAGCATATCCGCAAGCACATTACAAATACTAATTTGAGAATAACTGATATAGTAACTATAGAACATTCTAATTTCTTTATTGAAGCAAGTGGCCTGAGGACTTCTACTAGGGAATATATCCCAATTTTAGATGCTATATTCACTTGAAAGATATACTCTTAAATTTCCATTAAAAACCCTGTAATTCATAGCTTTAATTAGTTTAGACTACTCCTACCCCAATCAGCCTAGATGAGTGTGCAAATGATTTGTGAGAAGCCTCCAAAGATTTAACTCACTCTGGATAAACCCAGGGTGCACAAGTGGAAGAGTTACAGTGCTGTAAATCAATCACAGGTATTTTTTTCAATGAAGGAGAAGCTTAAAGAAATAAAAATGTATCCTATTTAAGTTTTACAGTTTTTACATTACACTTGAAATAAATGTCTTGCTCCTGGACCTACCTCATTTTAAGCTTCTCTACTCTCTCCTTTTCTCCCTCTCTTCCTCCCATCCTCTTCCTTTTCATACCTAATTTGAAAGTAAGATGTACTCTGCTGAAGAGAATATAAATTAACCTGAGGGAAAATAAGCATCTATTACATACCTCCTATATGCGAGGCTCTGTGCTAAGTATTGTAACAAATATTATTTCATTTGACCTTTGACCCAATGTTAATTATCTCCAAAGACCTAGGGATTATCTAAACTTTAACAATTTTGTGAGCTTTATAATTATTTGGTGAATTGAATTGAATGAAAAGTTTAATTGAGTTGAATTAATTTAACTAAACTTAAAATAAAATCATAAGCTTTTTTCAGGACAAAATCAAAGCAGAAATACAAAGAGAAATTATTGACTGGGAAAAAATAAAATATCCTTGATAAAAGTCTGATTTCCCAAATATATAGAGTATTGACACAAATATATAATACCAAGAGTTACTGCTTAATTAAAAAATAGTCAAGAAATATAAATTGTTTTCAGAAAAACAAATGCCAACTTGATGGTTATATGAAAACATGATTTAAATTACTAATGATAAAAGAAATTTAAGTTTCACTTTACACTCTAAAAATCGACAAAGATGACAAAAAATGGAAGTCATTTCTGAAGAGACTGCAGGATGACAAACACACTAACATGCTGCTGTCACTTGTTCTCACAGTTCTGGGAATCCATCTGGAATCATGCAAGAAAAGTGACTAAACAATTCCTGTTCTTTGATCCAGCAATTTCATTACCAGACCTATACCCAGAGGAGGTCAAAGACAGAAACAAAAGTTTAGTATATGCCAAAATGTTGGTAATGATACTTCATGTTGTAGCAAAGAGATGGAAACAAAGAGAATGCCCATGAAATGGGGGAATAGCTGAACTGACTGTGGTAGATGAATGTAATAGAATATTATCATGCAGGGAGAAATGATGAATGAGGGGAACTCGGATAAATGAAAGATTTGTATGCACTGATATAGAGAAAAATAAGCAGAACCAAGAGAACATTGACTATAACAATTTAAGTTTAAAAAAAAAATCACCAAAAGCTGAACTCCCAGTGACTGAAAAATCAAACAAATCCCTGGGAAAAAACAGATACATTTTTCTCTATCCTCCTGGCATCGAGGTTGGGGTATATAAGGGCTGAATGTTCATACATTGTCAGGCATGGTCACAGTTGCCTTTTGACTCAGTTGCCTTTTTTATTCCAAGGCAAGAACTTAGTTCAAGGGGCAGGGAAAATATATGCTGAAATGACTGTGTTATCAAAAAGAAAAGGTATCAAAAATATTTTTCTTAAAAATTAAAACTGTGCAAGGGTCTTCTTTTTCTGTGCTCCTACTTTGTATATATAGATGGAGATCATTAGTGGTGATTGAATTTTAAGATATGGTTCAATTTGTTCAGACTTGTTTTCTTGATCTACCAGGGTAGAATTAGGATACGTTGGTGAAAGTCGAAGATATAGGTTTTATTTACATAGGAAAGAACTTCCTAACAATGAGAACCATCCCAAAGTGGAATGGGCTGCTTGTAGAGATAATAAATCACTTCCTAGGATGCTAGAAAGGGGATCTTCTTTCAGATACAGCTCAGATTAGTTAGCCTTTGAAGTCTCTTCCTACTTTGATTCCATGATAAATTACAAAAACTCTTAATTACATAATTTCATTTTAATTATCTGATTATAGATTTATATTATTTTAGAGCCTTTAATTTAGTTTAACCTGATCATTTTTATAGATGATAAAACTCATTCCTAGAGAAGTGAATTGATTTATCTAAGGCCACACAGAATTTAGTAATGGATAGCATCAGTTCTCTCTACTCCCAAGGCCAGTGTTGTTTTCTTTCTTTTTAAAAACAAAATAATTATCTTGTTTTTCAATTATTGAGCATTCCCACCCCCCACACCCACTCCCCTCTACATACTGAAGAATGTAGGAAGGATGAAAAGAAGAAAAGAAGAAAGGAAGGAAAGAGGGAAGGAGAGAAGAAAGGAAAAAAAGAAAGAAGGAAGGAAAGAAGCCCTTTATCACATAAGCACAGTCAAGTAAAACATTTCCATAGAGGTCATGTCCAAAAATACATTTCTTATTCTTCATATTAATCCATCATCTCTTTCATGATATGGGTTGTGTTCTTCTCACTAGGCCATGTCTACCTACATGAAAGTCCAATTCTGAGACCAATATTTGGTAGATTTTGAATTAGACAGAAAGGCTCCCAGAACAAGTAATCATTTTGCACGAGGAGGTCTGGTAGATATTGAGTAATGGTTCTCATGTTGTTAAAGGGAAAGTGACATTTCTTGGGGTGCCTAACTGCTCCTCTCCCCTGCCCCCAATGCAACTAAATTACAATCACATTTAAGAAGAAACGAAGGCTTTTTGGCCTTTGTTCTTCAAGATTCCTCCCAGATTTTCATGCCCACTGACACTCTGTATTTATTTATCATATATTCTTTATTTACATATTTGTGAACATATATCCCCTGCCAACCTAGAGACTAAAAGCTGTCTGAGGGTAGGTTTTTTTTTTAGCTGTATCCCTGTGTGTGGATAGTACCTGTGCATAGTACCTGCTATGCAAGACATGCTACTAGATGCTGATTAGTTGAGAGACTAATGTGTTTTGGTCCAAATGTGATTTCATTCACGTGGGGGATGTCTGGTGTGGAAATTCCCTCCACCAATGTAAACTGGTAACTTATTGTGACTCGTAGTCTTGGACATTTACCCAGGGCACATGATTTGCTCATGGCTACAGAGCGAGTGTATTTGACAGGCAAGAAGACTTGAGCCTCAGTATTCCTGCCTATAAGGTTGGCCTTCTTGTGCTCACTAAATTTTCCTGGATTGATCTAATTAACATTTCAATGACAGCCCTGAATACCAATAGTTCAAGGTGAATGATTTACTTTGCTAGGCATGCCCTTATCATTGT